TTCCCATTTAACTAGAGTATGTGTTTTTTCAATAACTGTCAGAAGTTTTGGTTCCAAACCAAATACAGAAGGTAGATAACTTGGTAACTAAACTAACTTGAATACATACTACTGGGTCCAATCCTGTTTAACATCTTCATTAATGATTTGGATAATGAGGCAGAGTGTACCCTCATAACGCCAGACGGTTGTGCTCCCATCCAGAGGAACCTCTACAGACTGGCAAAATGGGCTGCAGGAACCTCACGAAGGTCAACAAGGAGAAGTGCAAGGTCCTGCGCTTGGGAAGGAACAACTGCAGGCACCAGCATATGCTGAGGGCTACCCAACTGGAAAGAGCTTGGCAGAAAAAGATCTGGGGTTCCTGGTGGCCACCAAGTTGAACATGAACTAGCAATGTGCCCCTGTGGCAGAAGTTAATGCTATCCCGGGCAGCATTAACCAAAGTATTGCCAGCAGGTCAAGGGAAGTGATCCTTCCCCTCTGTTCAGTAGTGGTGAAGCCATATCTGGAGTCCTGAGTCCAGTTCTGGGATCCTCAGTACAAGAAAGACATGGACATACTGGAGAGAGTCCAATGAAGTGCCACAAGGATGAAGAGACTGGAGCATCTCTTCTATAAAGAAAAGCTGAGAGAGCTGAGCCTGGTCAGCCTAGAGAAAAGAAAGCTCAGGGGGATCTCATCAATGTGTTAAAATACCTGAAGGGAAGGTGCAAAGAAGATGGAGCCAGGGTCTTTTCAGTGGTGCCCAGTGACAGGACCAGAGGCAATGGGCACAAACTGAAATACAGGAAACACTTGTTTAATGTGACCGAGCACTGGCACAGGTTTGCCAGGGAGGTTGTGGAGTCTCCATCCTTTGAAATATTGAAAAGTCATCTGGACATGATCCTGGGCAACTGGCTTTAGGTGGCCCTGCTTGAGGAAGGGGCTTGGAATGGATGACCTCTGGAGGTCCCTTCCAACCGCACCCATTCTGTTATTCTGTGATATAATCTTTTTGAACATACAGTTGCTAATGCAGCTACTGAAAATGGTCATCATACCCTTTTGCTTGAATAGTTCTGACTGTTGAACTGTTTGACAAATCAGATACTGTTCAAAATTATTTTAAAAAATGAGAATTTGGCTTTCATTGTGGTAACATTTAGAAGTTTTGTAAGGGAATGCTCATTTTCCCCAAAGATCCCGTCTGTTGGAATATAATCCTGGAAAAACTCCTTGCTAAAGAAAATTTTTCTAGGGTTGAAATCTATATCGCCTTCATTTATAATCCAAAATGGTGATTACCTCAATCCTGGAATTGGTAAATAAAAGTTGTCCATAAAACCTGTGCACAATTTGAGATTGTTCCCTCATGGGGACCTGGACTATCCAAATTGTAGCAGCCCAATGGGTGGATTAAAGTATTAATATTTTCCTGGTAGACTCAGCTTTGGATCTTAGCTCTGCTGTAGAACTCCGGTGTGGCTCATACTGCAGTATGTGCACAGCCAGTGCGGGACATCAGGGCCTTCGTTGCCTGTGTGGAAATGGGGCTAGGCTTTGCAGAACTCGGAGCTATGTATGAAGTAGTATGCTGATCTTGGATGGCACAATGGTAGATGGATATTAAGGACTGTGTTTACTAGAACAGTTTTCAGATCTGATTCAAAAATATTTGGAGGGTAGGGGCCATGTTAGTGTCTTGACTGAAAATGTGCCATCATGCAAACAGTGTCTTACAAATAGGTGCAAGATTGTGGAGGGAGATAAGAGGAAGTGTGCTCTGGAAAAACACAGTGATGTCTCATTGTGAGAGTCACACTGAAAATATTGTAAGTCTGATTTCTACTTAGACTTCTTTAAAAAAAGTAATTTAAAATTCTTACTGTTTATTCCTGATTAATGACAGATGTTCCCAAAGTACTCTTAGTTTCTTCCTTGTTCTCTTTTCAAGGAATAGGAACAACGTAGCTGGACACTCTTCAAGTTGATTCTAAATGTTTCTAGGGAGAAATTAATGATTTCATCACAGATGTTGAGAGGAGGAAAAATAATTTAGAGTACTTAATTTTGCCTGTGTAAAATTTTCCCTTCAGATTCATTTTGATAAAACTACCCAGTTTTAATTTCCTAATCTCAGTGTTATTTTGGTGTATGTGTTTGAACAGGTGCCACATTTCACGCAGGACATAGCTTCATTTCAGTAATTATGAGAAATTACTTGTTTGTTGTTTTAAAATTAAATTGTGAAACATTTAAACACAAGCATGAAAGACAGTATAAATAGAAGTCATCATGTCTACTAGTTTAGCCTTGCCAAATAGATGTGCTGCTGTCATATAGATATATGAAACCTTTTAAAAAGGAGGTCTATTCTGAAAAGGATGCCGCTTCTTTTATTTTGCTAATGTACTTTTTAATTCTTTAAAACTACCACTCCAAGGTGGTGGTTTTTTTTCCCTGTCGGTTACTTAAGACTAAATTTGTTCTTTTTTGAAAAATATAAATCAAAACATATGACTGCTATTTGTCGGCTGTGTCATTTGGGGTCAAGCTGTGTCTGTGCTTCCTACTTCTAACTCTCTGCGGGTACATGCTTATTCTGATACATGGGCTTTTACCTGCATCTTTATCCCCCCCAGCCTGAAAGATTAATTTTTTGTCTTTTTGATGCGATAGTCAGACTACCATGCTGGTTATTGCCACAGTGCTGCTGCTGTTTCAGAGTGAGCTAGGGGATGTTTTCAGCACTACTTTAGATATATTTCTTCTTTATCTTTGGAATACCAAAGTTCAGTGTTCTGCTGCTTTAAACCATAACCCGTCTATGTTTGATGCCTGTAAGAAAGAAATCTCTTGGATACGGTTTAAAGGAAGGAGATGACCGTGTGAAAAAACACTCAAAAGAAATGTATTTCCTTGCTCACAGGTAAATATATGCGAAGAAGTCTTTAGGCATGTGTTCTTACTAAAATCTTGCTTCTTTTGGAAAGATCTGTCATTTTCCAGTGGACCTATTGCCACCATCTCCAGGCTTCTTTAGAAGTTTACTCGCCACACACGTTCTTCTCTCTCTTTTTTCACCAGGGACTGGAACAGTTTGCTCTCTCTGGTCATGTATTTTTGTCCTGCTTGTAGCCAGATGTTTCTCACTCAGGAGCTCCTCCTTGCTTTTTCTGGGGGTTTTATTGTAATCTTTTGTTTGTACCCTGTCTTTTTCATAGCATTTTATTCTGTTTTTTTCCGGACAAGTGTCTCCTTTAATTTAATTACTTGTAGTCAGGAGCAAAATTGAGTCAGAGCTCAAAGTGAGAGTGTTGTTATGATCTCAGGAGGAGGTAGCAATGTCACCTATTCCTGGAGATAATGTGGCAGAAACCTAGAGGTGCTGATTCATACTTAGGCAAGATATGACTGACAGTTGGTCCTGGCAGAGTGGCTGCCAGGGATTTTTTTGTACCTGGGGATACAATAGAGAAGGATGCTGGATGTGACGAGGCTTAGGGTTTCCCTGTTGGTAGAGAAAATAAGTAAGTTAATAGTATCACATGGCCAGTGCAAGACAGCAGTTGTTCAATAAGCCTTCTGTCTAGTGCCAGTGAACACTCCAGGAAAGGATGAGCTGCTGCTTTGCTGGGAGCAGTAGATTTGCTGTGTCTTTCCGCGGTGTGAGGCAGCCCCGGCTAAGTGAGTGCCAGCTGGCATTTTGAGTGCAGCTGTTTGCCTAAAACAGTGGTAATATGATCATGTTCCATGACAGAAAATGGCTGTGTAGCCTGACCTCTCACTCAGAGCACTGAGGTAAGGTGCACAACATGTTGATTGCAAAGAATAAATAATTCTCTTATTTCTTCTAATGTTCTGCACATTTGGCTCAGCATCTGAACATTCTTTCAGTGTACCAGCCTGTAATAAAAATGCCCCAATTAAAATTTAACACTTCAGAATACAGGAAAATTAATGGTTTCTTTCCTCCCTCCCCCTAGGTGCTCATTAACAATATTTTGCTATACCTGACATTCTTCTGTAGGCCTTTTCCAAGAACAATTCTGTAGCAGCCCATCTGTTTTATTTTGTTGATTCACAGCTAATGTATGTTGTGATCAACAAAAAAGGCAGGAGAGGAAGAAGTTTGCTTATTTTTGTTGCCTTGCCCTTGATGCTGCAATTGGGGTCAGAGAGTCTTCGTTGTGAAAGAGCCACAGAGCACACTTACCCAGAAGATTTCTAGAGTTTAGCATAGGCAGGCAGAGAAAGGGGGGCAATCTTTACAGAAGCCACAGTGTAAGCAGAGATTGGTAGCATCTTTGGAAAAACAAATGCTGAACAGAGATCTTGGAGGTGATAAAGACCTTCCTTAGGGACGAGGTGAAAACAGTTGCAACCCAGGAAATTGCTTCAGCTTGCTGAGAAAAAGATTTGAAGGAAATGATAAATTGTGTAAAGAGACAGTGGAAAAGGGGACATGCTTATGAATCCTTATTTTGTCTCATCTAGTGGTTGTAGTTTTCAGTGTTTCAAAAGTTGCCTTGTCCTGGCTTTAGAAAACACCTGGTTCTAAAGTCTTTTGATGATGACCACTGTAAGAGGTGCAAACTGATCCCTGTTGAATTCTGAGTCCCATTCCAAGTATCCATTCATTTAATTTAAAAAAATTTGAGCCTTTTGGTTGTTCAATAGCTTGAAAAAACCTATTTTAGACTAGAGGAAGAGAAATGAGTTGCCTGCATCATGGAGGCCATTGTAGGGCCTTGGTACATGTATGCAGTTGGTGCTACCATCTTCCTGTAGCTGATTACTCACTCTCCTTTGCTCAAAATGTTTTTACTGTCAAGCCTCTCCATACCTGGGGTCTGTATGTGGAATATTTTTGTGGGGAAATCTGCTTTCTAAATAAAGAAGGTGTTTTACATTTACAAAGGCATTCACACAGTGCTTTCAATGGTATTTTTGGCATAATCATGGGAGCATTGCTGTCATCTAATTTCTTACTGCTTTAATAATTCTGTTTTCAGATTCACACTTCTCTAATTAACGGACGGCCTAGTGCTGATGATCCTTCACGTGTATTGCTAGAATTCACCTCTGCTCGCTTTATTCGCCTGAGATTTCAGAGAATACGGACACTAAATGCTGACTTAATGATGTTTGCACACAAAGATCCAAATGAAATTGATCCCATTGTTACAAGGAGGGTAAGTTCTGGCAAGACAGTAGAAATAGTGCATGTAGAAGTTCTCTTACACTTGTAAATGTTGTACCTGCCTTTGTTTGCCATAGGAAATTTTGGGAGATGATGAGTACCTGTTGTTATTTGTCAAAATCCTAGTGTTAGAGGATTCCCTCTTCACAGAATTTTGTTGTCTTCTCTATAGCAGAACTAACAGGTTTATGTTTTCTGCTTACTGGCGTTGCGAACGTACACAACATGCTTATCAATGTAACACAGAGCTCCTTTGGCTGTAAACATTTGGATGCAGGTAGTTGGCAAGTAGTTGCTGTTAGATAATGTTCTCTCGCCTCTTCTGCTGCTCAATCCTTTGCTATCTTTAGGATTACTTGAAGACTTACTTTGAGTAGACTTTCTACTAGCAGTACTATGAGTAGTAGTATTAGATTATTGCTAACACTAAAAATTTTACATCGTGCTTTAGCTTGAAATAATGGATGCAGCACTCAAACTCACAACATACCCCTGTCTTCTCACCATTCCTTGTGTGTGCGAGCCCCAATCTCTTCTTTCCACGAACTGTCCTTTTTTCTATGCCATATCTCCCTGCTTTCCTGTTGTTCAAATGTGTGTTATTCTATTTTTCCTCTGATTTTTTACCACATTTTTTCTTTCTGCTCACTTCCTCATTCTGTCAATCATCTTATTTTTCTTTTGGAAATTTGTTTAGGGTACCACTATAGTAAGTCCTGTTATGAAGGGGCAGTATGCTTATTCTTGGCTTTAATTAATATCATTTATCAATGGTGGATAGCTGCAAAGAAAATTTGCCTCTTCTGTTCCACATTTCTGGTTTCCGTTTCTTCCTCCAAATACGTAGAGTGCTGGCTATTTCTGAAAGTTTGGAATTGGCCAGAAACCCTTCCAGTTGAGTACAGTTATTGCAGCTTCACTAATCACAGAAACTGTGTTTACGTAAGGGTGCACATTTAATAATTTGATTCTAAGTGAGCAGAAACACAAAATTCAATCTAGGTAAGAACCCAATTCACACTTTAAAAATCCCTATATACTCATTAAAATCTAGTGCAGGACGACCCACAGATTTCTCAAACCAGTGGAGAACGATAGTTTCTGTATGGTAACTCTCCATGAGGCTGTCCTTGGAGGAGTAAGGAGCAACTGAAACTTGTCATCCTTGTCTGGCTTTCCCTATAGAAGGCATTAGACAAGCCGCTGTTCCACTAAACAGGAAACAAAGGGTAGCCACAAATGACACATTTTCTTTGTGGTAGAAGGTTAACTGTGAGTTATATGAGTTCCCATTTTGTTTGATATGCTTATTAATGATCTGAAAAAGAGGTTGAAGAGAGAAACAGCAAAATTTGTGAATAGCATATGTTTGGTTTGATTAACCAATTGTTAGGATGTTACAGGACCCTTGCAAAAACAGATTAAAATGGACAAGATGGCATGTGACATTCACTTTTCATAGGTCTTATAATACATGGTTATAAATACCTTTCCATCCTTTTTTTCTGGTTAGGGCTATTAATCCCCACCAAAGAAAAAATAGAAATGGTCAAATGGCAGAGCAACAGGTCAAGTTATGTAAATCTCAGTAATGAAGACTATGCCACAGCCATTCAAAAGGCCAGTAGTGAAAAACAGGTCTTCCTTCCGCAGTCCAGTGAATGCCCAAGTAAGACCCAGCTAAGGTGAACAAAAGTGTTTCTTTCTTAGTTTTTGTTCTAGCCTTTCTCTTCTCCCCATCATCATGCCTTTTCCTTTTCATGTTTGCTGAAGGGAATAAATTCCATAGCATTTGCCTTTTCATTATCCAGTGTGCGTATAGCCTTTTCCTATGCTCATGTTTGGTGTGTGCTGTGTATAAATTGAGATGGCTCTCGTGACTTCAAACAAATAGAACTGCGCCAATTTATACTCTTTCTTCCACTAAGCCTGAATCTGTTGATCAAGACGCAGCTTGCATTATTACACTGTCTGCTATTTTTGTGATAGATCAAAAAAGAAATAAAAGAGGACCTGACAGTTTTGTCACCAGAACTGAATTCTGCAGCTTGGTACCTGCATTTTACAATCCACTTAGCAGTTCAATTTCTGTTTTGTCTTACAGTATTACTATTCTATAAAAGATATCTCTGTTGGAGGCATGTGTATATGTTCAGGCCATGCGAAGGCTTGTCCACTGGATCCAGCGACCAATGTATGTATTTATATTTTTTTCTTTTTTGATGTGGGTGGAACATGAGAAAAAAAATTGATATTCCTGAGTTCTGTGAATTTACGTCTGTTCTTCACCCAGAAGAATAGTCAGAAGCAATGCCAGGATGAAACAGTGCTGGCAACCAGAAAAATAAACATTCATACAGTGTCAGCGGAGGCTTTCTCTCAGATGAAATAATAGATTTCAGTTAATTCAGTCCATACTGAAAGTTTCCTAGGAAAACCAAAAATTTGGGTTATGTTATGCAGCTGTAGAGGTGAGCACTAACAGTCAGTCTTTCTTTTTCTTGTTGTTATTAATCACAGTGTTTCCTACATGACTGTCAAGTATTTAATCGATACTTGCAAACAAATGATGGCACTAGCACGGTGCATTTACTATGCAGGAAATATTAATTGAGTGATCAGTCAAGCTGGTCTAGAAAATCAGGAGCTGTTTATAATTTCTTCCAACTTGTAGCTTTCTTTTTATGCCATTAATAAACACGTAACCAATACAATTGAAATATAGAAATATAATTTCTTACTGATGGTTCAAATATATACACATGCATGCATACATTATCATTAATGCGGAATTTCCAATCTACTAGTATTACTAATGTGCTGCAATGTGAGATCTCTTCATATACTATTCACTTAAGTAGGAGCTTTGTAGGATTATAAAAAAATCTTGTTTGTAGATTACATTAAACCATTGTGTAAGAACTGATAAAAAAAGCCCAAAACAAACTGGAAGAACTCTTACAGAGAATGCATTTAGAGTTCTAAGTAGTTTCCATGGGTTCTTGTAAAAATTTTACAAACTCCTTGGTTTAATCCTTCTAAGCTTTTTCTGTGGTGATGTGTATAGCAAGTGCTGAGCTATTGTTTCAGATGGCCTTAGGTATCAAACTGCAGCATTGTCTCACTGCCATCTGTTAGGATTGGGCCTATCTCAGAAAATAAGTGCTGTTAATCCAATTAATACGTACTTCAGAAAATTTGGCTACTGGATAAAATAAAGGCATAGTGACAAGTGTGGTGTCTTGTTTTTCAGGATGAAAAATATGTATATGTTGTCTGGCCAGTATAAAAAATAGCATAAGTGAAACAACTCCAGCTGTAAGACATTTGGAGTATTTGGTTTAGCCCTCCAGGGATACTTTTTAGACTGAGCCACACCAAAATAGGTGGGCTTTGGCTTATAAACATCATGACTCTAGCTGTTAGCACAATTAATCTTTCCCCTAGCATTACAAAGAATAAACTTGCTTGAATTTACTGCCTTGCTTTTCTGAAGCATTGCTTAACTTAATCTTGGTTTGCAAAATTCATGCTTTGTCCTGTGAGCCATAGAATTTCTCCAGATTAGCTTGTTGGTTTGACCTTGAGTGGCTTCACAGGGACCACAAAGAATCCCCTCCACTGAATAAATATTGGGAAGGCAATTTTTGCTCCTCATTTCTCCAAACTACCATTTCTTATATCTTTTCCAAGCTTCTTCTGTGGCTCAGAGAATTTGGGTGTTCCCTATAGCAATATTTTCATGCTGGGACTAAGCTGGGACTAAGGTGGTCTGCTGAGGAACCGAAAAGCCACTGAAAGGGTGGTCCTGCTCTCATCTCCTGTTAGTTTAAAAACTTTCAGTATCCCTCACATAGAATTAGTTTTGCAGTTAGAAGGTTACACGATGAGTTGACTCATCCAGTAAAAAATTAATGCTAAAATTAAAAGTTTTTAATGGATCAGCCAACAGAATTGATTTCACTCTGCAGCTGCAGGATCGCTATGTCTGAGGGAAGGGTAGAGATTGGCTCACCCCTTCTAGTGCAAGCTAGCTATCAGATCAGTTTTCCTGTGATATGAAGCTGTACCTGAGGGCTACCAGCACTTTGGCTCATTTGCTGTAACGGGGAGCTTTCATTCTCCCGTCCTCCTTTCTTCAGCGAGTTGGAATTAGATTTTCCAACATTCTTAGATTCTCCTTAAATTCTCTGGCCAACTACCTTGCTTTGCACCATGGCTGTTTTCTTAAAATAGAGCTATAGGAGTTAAACACACTCTTGTCTCTCACTTGGTGAATACAGGGTACATAAATGAATAAAAATGAATAAGCGGGGGAATTACAGAGTATAGCTATTCTAAATGTTTTCATAATTTGAGCTGGAATGCAGATTATGTGCATGGACAGATTCTTCAAATCATCACATTGTGTAAATATTTGTTTTTCTTTTAAATTAGAAATCCATCTGTCAGTGTGAGCACAACACATGCGGAGAGACATGTGATCGTTGTTGTCCTGGTTTCAATCAAAAGCCTTGGCATGCTGGCACTTTCCTGGTTAAGCATGAATGTGAACGTAAGTTGAAAGCCGTACAGAAGAGAAGGTTTATTGCAACTGCTGGTGAAAACTGAAGTCAGATCCTACATGGTTTTGCAATTAATTTTATTTCTAATCACATTTGTTTATGCATCAATTGTTCACTTACTTAGGCCGGCTCGAAAAAGGTAAAAGAACAATTACATGTAGATTCATGGTCTTACTAAACTGAGAATATTTTAGTGTGACATGCTGATATTGGTGGAATGCTGTATAAACATCATTTTGACTTATTTAATTTTTATAATTGTGGTGGTTTTGTTTTGATAAAATAACAGGCCTGTATCCTGATAAGTAAAAAATATTTTTAATAGATTTTTCATGATATTAAACTTTAGCAGCATGATTTTTGTACAAATGACGCTTTTGTATATTATAATGTTCAGCCTTGCTGAAACAAAATATTTTTACACGATCAAAATGCAATTTTAGTTTCTGATTTTTTAATGGAAAAATCAATGTATCTAGTTTTCCAGCGTGGAATGAAAGCATTCCTTGAAATGTCACCTTTTCGCAGGCTGGGGATTTCTTTTTCAGATATACTGTAGTAAGGATAGCTATAACTGAACTGTAACGTCTTACTTACAAAGGTCACATACCACTTATATTTCTGAACATAATAAAACCTAGTCCTCCATTACATGTAAGTGTTTATTCAATTGTAGGATTGCAGCTATAGTTTTACCATGAGTGGTTAAAAACATATAAAAAGAAACAGGTATCCCCATATTAAAGATAGTAATTGCTTATTTGTGTCCTGTGAACTTTGGCCACAGAGATCTTTGTTTCAGTAGGGACTGTGTCTGCATTGGGAATGCATTCTGGAATGAAATCAGGGTACATTTATTTTCATGTTTAATTTTTAAGAGACACTTCTTATGCCCTATTCAACCCTCAGTGAGTTGTTGTACTTTCATGGTGGAAACTGTTCCCTGGCATCTGGTTCAGATGTGAGGAGAATGACTCCCTGCAATGTTGATGAGCCTTGAATTTCTCTTTATGTGGAAATTAATGTTTTAATACCACAGGGAAAGGGAGAGAGAGAGATACCTCATTTTCACAGCAACAGATTATTAGATTAGCTGACCTGTATGTGGACCTGAAGCCTAAGAGTTCAAATCTGAACTTCTAAAGAAGTTTTAAGATTCAGAATCTCATTGTTCTGACCCAGCTTTTATATGCATATGTGCAAATCAAGTGTTTTCAGGATGTCTTTCAGCTTTCATGGAAATTATTTTAATTTACTCATACCATTCTGCTGCTTTCCTTATAATTCCTCTTGTATTTTAAATTAGCTGACCCTTTCATGAACCGTATGTGTGTGCAATCACCAAAGGTTTCTGGAATATCAATTTAAACAGAAAAAAGCCCCTAAACCAAAACAGGAAGAACATAATTAGGCTATATCTGTCAACTTCCGTACTCCTCCAGACAAAACATCGAGAAAAAAATACAATATACAGAATTCCAGGCTGCATTTGTAGTGGGACCACATTACTTTTCATAGCTGAAGTAGTAAATTAATGCTTGGATGTGCTATTGGTTACAGTGTATGCAGCAGCAATGATAAAATGTTGAACGGCTCTTTTTAATACCTTAGTAACAGCGTGGCATCTCCAGCCAGAAAGTGTTCGCCAACACTGCTCCTTCTCTTTTAGCATGCAACTGTCATGGGAAGACTGAGGAGTGTTACTATGATCAGGATGTTGCAGACAGAAACCAGAGTTTGAATGTCCATGGAGAATACATCGGGGGCGGAGTGTGTGTGAATTGTACAAGCCACACCGGTGGCATAAACTGCGAGACGTGCATCGACGGCTACTTCAGACCTGAAGGGGTAAATCCATGTTCTGTTGTCACTTCACTGTAAAGCTCGGTGTTCAAACCGTCACTTCAGCATGGGGACTTAAGTTATTAAAAAGAGATGACACAGTTCGGACTGCCGTTTTATGAAGGTTAACCTCTAATTCTGACAGTGTAGTAGTTGCTTTTCACAGCTGGAAATCTGCAAAGTTAACACTCACAGAAATATGAAATTGTGTTGAAATGAACGAATGCACTTGAGGTTAGGGCCTCCAGCTAGTATTTCAATTTAATTTAAAGGAGGATGTGGTCCTGTAAACAGAACTTTTGCCTCAGTAATGAATTTCAATATTTGTTATCAAAGATCAGAGAAATATTGCTGTATTTGATATTGGAGAAAGAGTCTATAATTTTTATTTTTAAAATGTAATGTAGGAATAATAACCACTGAAATTCTATAGTGTCTCATGAATGCCTTTCGTTTTCAGTGCAGCGGTGAATTGTTTTCTGTGTTTCATCATATAAGGCTGTATTTTCATCTAAGTTGAAGCTGTCAGAAGATGAATCTTATATTAGGTTATATTGCCAATATGGGCTGTGCTTGTGCTTTAGACAGCTGCACTATTAGTGTGTGCTTAAATTCCTGATATTTTGTCTGTATAGTTTCAGTTTGGTAAATCATGACCTTTAGTCTGATTGGTTTTCAATCCTCAAACACAGAAAATATCAGCAAATAACAATAATTACATTCTTCCTAATACACTGCTTTTAGACTTAGAGCTTGAGAAAAGAAATACTGATCTCTTCAACAGCAAAGCTCTTGATATTTTCCTCTGAATCAGGTTATCATCCAACTAATAGGGATTTTATATGTGTGTGTGTGTATAGTGTATCTATAGTATGTGTATATACCTAGTTCATGCAGAACTTCTAGTTTATATTCCCAGTGTGATATGAGACTAAGGTTTAAGTTTGGTTGAGATAACCTTTTCAAGAACAAAAGGAAGTTGTTCCATTGTCCAACGTTCAGTTTTCTTCACTTACCCTTTTTGTTCAGTTACTGACCAGCTAACTTTGTTTTTTATATCACGTTGACCAGAACAACTGAACTATTTTTCAATATTACTTTAGGTAGTGAATGCTCTAAGTCTACATCATTATATTTATTGATTTTAATTATACAAGGGACTGTTATTATCTCCACACCTGTTTTTTTAGTTGAAAACATATTTGTATCTAAATCACTTACATGTTTCTGAATGAAAACCCAAATTGTAACTTTAATGCTTAGACTGCATGGGCTAAGTTTGGCAACCATCTCACTTTTGTTAAAGTGCAAGCTACCTACACAGAAATTGTTCTCTCCTACTTTTTTGTTTAAGAAGTAAATAAAAGTTTCCAATTATTAATGTTAAGATTTTCTTTTTTGTAATCTCTCTTTTTATAGGTATTGCCAGATAGCCCAGATCCCTGCCAGCCGTGTTCCTGTGATCCAAATGGGTCTTTACACGATACCTGCGTCAAAGATGAGAAACATGCAGAAGGAGGTAAGATAAAAGATAGTGATGTTAAAGCTTAAGTTCAGCAATGGTCAAAGAAAAGATGAGTCACATTTGTGATATCTCCTTTAAAAAAAAATCACTTTTTTTTTTTAAAGTTTACTTCATGTAAACAATAATCCACCTTCATTCTTATGATAGTTTTCTTTGAAAACTCAGATATAATATTCACAGATTTGCTGAGTATTCTTTCAGATTCATGGCTTGCAAACTTGGGTATGTTTGGAAGAGTATTCCCCATGGAATATATTGGAGAATTTTGGCTTTAAAGAGATTTCTTCTTCTACAGCAGAGATTAAAACTAGTACAACCATAATGTTTTATTCTTTTCTCCTCTCTAAGCATATTTCTATTTGAAACCCAGAAAAAAATCTGTTTGAAAGATGTCATATTTGTGTGCCATCTATATTATTAATGTAGGATTAGAAGCTGCTTACCATAGCCCCATAAAAGCTGTCTTCAAGTAGAGCATAAACTGTGCCCTTGTGCTTTGGAAACAATGAATTGCCATATTTTTCTGGTTCTTTTGTTGACAAACTTCTGAAAATACTGTAGGAAGTTAACAACAAAACTGAAGGTCAGTTCTTAAGAGATGTTTAATTGGGCTACTTACAATCTATTGACAAGAGATTTTGTAGCAATCTTTTTTGAAATAGAGCTCAATGGAACATAAAAGCAGCATAGCAGAGGTGCAAATGCAGGGCCCAGAGATGTAAAATATACTCTTAACAACCATGGGCTGATTACATCAGTTCAGTAAATTGATACTGATTACTATCACAGTGGTATATATGGTGGGTTGACCTTCGCTGGCTGCAGCTGCCCACCCAGCTGCTCTCTCGCTGCCCTTCTCAGCAGGACAGGGTGAGAAAATAAGATGAAGCAGCTCACAGGTTGAGGTAAAGCCCCGGAGATTGCTTACCAATAACTGTCATGGGCAAAACAGACTTGATTTGGGGAAAATTAATTTGACTTATTGCCAATTTAAATAGATGCAGATTGTGATAAACAAAGACAAACATTAAAAAAGCACCTTCTTCCCGCACCTCCTTTTTTTGTTTTGTTTTGTTTTGTTTTGTTTTCATCCTCGACTTCGGTCCTTTATTCCCAACTCCTCTACCTCCTCCCCCCGTACCACAGGTGGTGCAGAGGGATGAGGAATGGGGGTTGTGGTCATAATGGTTTCTCTCTGACAGTCCTTTCTCCTCACGCCTTTCCCTCACTCCAGCAAGGGTCCTTCCCATGGGCTACCATCCTTTAGGAAAAAAAATCTGCTCCACCATGGGTGTTCTTTCAGGAAATACCCATCTGTTCTCTCATGGGGTACTCCACGGTGTGCAGTGTGGACATCTGCTCCACCATGGTCTCCTCCCGGGGCTGGAGGGGAATCTCTGCTCCAACACCTGGAGCACCTTCTTCTCCCACTCCTTCTCCTCTGACCTTCTCTGACCCATCTGGCTGAGGGGCTCAGCCAGGTCCTGCGGTGGGGCCGTTGGAACCAACTGGAACTGTCTGTGTCTGGCATGGGCAGCCCTGGCCGCCCCTCACAGAGGCCACCCTGCAGCCCCCCACCGCTGCCAGCTCCTGGGCATGGACACCCAGTACAGTATATCACACGGACTGATAGGAGAGAGAGTAGGAGCAAAAGAGAGGATGAATCCCAAAGCTGGAAGAAACACAGCATGATGCCTGTACCAAACCTGTGGGTGAGAGTGTACAGGTTACACAGATGACAGCCTAAATACAACAAAGAAACCTTTCATACTATTAAAAAGGACAACTTTTATTCAAACATTTGCCACTACTGACATTCAGTGCTTTTGTAAAATACTGAGGCCATGATTCTGAGATGGAAGAATGATTAATTCAAAGAAATTGGGTATTAAGCAGCATCTTGGTCTCTCAGTTCCTCGCCGTGGCTGCTGCAGTCTTAATTTTCACACTTCCTATGCTGGCCACTGGTGTGGGTCACTCTCTGGGGGCTTGGCAGATGGAAGGCAGTTAATGGGCTGTCAGCTCTTCTCTCATGGGAAGAGGGAAGCAAAAAGATAAAGACATTTTTCCATCTTGTTTGGTTGTCAGTAACAGTGTCATTAGGAGCTCTCATAATGTCTTACTCTTGCCTCTGAGCATTCAACAGATCTAAACCCTCTCATAGTTGCTTTCTAAAACTGCTTACACTTTCTGAATCTGACTGGGTAGTACTGTGCTTTAACACCTTGCTTCTCATTTCTTCTCCTGCCTTTTTAATCCTCTGATCTTCTTTCTGGCAATTCTTCCCTCCCTTCCCTTCCCTTCCCTTCCCTTCCCTTCCCTTCCCTTCCCTTCCCTTCCCTTCCCTTCCCTTCCCTTCCCTTCCCTTTCTCTATTGTGTTGAAGATAGCATATCCAAAATTGGAATATCTGTCTCTGTTTTGCCTCCTTTTACTTTTATTGGCAAGTGGCCAGTCCTGCTCATCTAGCCCCAGGCATTCAAACAAGTTTCATATCTCCACAGTTCTTCCAGTCCTAAGAACCAAGAGTTCTTTTGTGCTCTTCACAAAATTAAAACTCTCATCATTTTCTGCCTTGACTGTAACCAGCTTCTCCTGATCTTCCTGAAACTGGACTCATTCAGCTGCAGTTGGTTAGAGGCCTGTTGCTTTTTGATCACATTAAAGTATTCTTAAGCTCTGTTGAATCTGCTGTTTGTAACACATGAAGTATTTTTTTTTCCTTTGTTGCTTTTTAAGCCCATTGATTTCTCCTCTTCCGAACTTATTTACTGTAGAGGTTATTCTGTGTGTTTAAATTACTTCTCATATATGACAAGCGCAACAATTGTTACTTAGGGGACAGCCATCATATATGGAATTGCCTCCCCAAAGTAGTCCATGCATTTGTTCCTGAAACCAGTTGTCTGTGTCCTGCCCAGTCCTGGAAGTCCTGTGAGAAATGGACAGTTTGCACTGTCTAGACAGCGGCCAGAGGAGAGTTCTGATATTTATCTTATTTTATTTACCAATTTTAAGACCACAATAACAAAAATAAGTCAGCTCTACACATAACTGAGCTTTGTAGCTGTTCTGCTTACAATGGTCCTGTTCTTTGCTCCTTGTTCTTTATTTGCTTTTCTTTACTTCTTGTTATACTAAATAAGGTTCCAACACATTAGGAAAACTGTTTACTTCTTGCACATTATGTTTGATTATAGTGTTTGGACCATCAGGCCAGATTTGTGACTGTAACGTCTTACTCAACATAAAAGACACAATAATGCTAGTTGAAAGAAAAAGACTTTTTAATGTTTCTTTTAAGGAAAGATTTTTGTGGTAATGGAAGAGGTTGTGTTAAAATCAAGAGCACGTCTGGATATAATTTTTAGCATAAAACTATCCTGAAAGCAGATCACTTTTTACATTTTTTTTTCTTTCTCTAATTTATATTCAATACCCTGATAAAATTCTTTTTACTGTACACTGCTCACCCTGGGCAGCAGTTGGGCTTGAAGCACTGGGGAGCCTTCATAAAGGAAAGGCTGGAAAGCATGATCTGTCTGAAGGAATCTACCTATTCACCTGTGAACCAGAATGAATACACACTGGGTAGGTTGAAATACATCTCAGAGTTTGCTGGCAGGTTTTTTAAGGATAAATTGTTTGCTTGGTTTAAGATGGGAATATGCTTCTTAAATATGCGGTAAGCAAATGAGTCGGGAAGATTAAAAACATTAAACTAAAATGGAAATATGATAATAAGGAAAATCAATGGGGATATAAAGTCACCGCGAAGAGTTCTCAAGGAAAATAAAGCTGGAGGCTGTACATTCTCTGTGTGCTTGAATAGTGTAGGCAAGCAACAATTAAAATGGAAAATTGTAGCTAATGCCATAATAACTGGTACATTGATGAAATGCAACAAGAACATTTAAATGACTGCACCCTGTTGTCGTCATCAGGTTCTGGTACATAAAGAATAGCATGAAGGAGTCACTTTATAATTGACCAGGCATTGTTTCAGGAGAAAAAGGAATACTTTCGTATATTAAGCATGTATAATTCCTATTTTGACGACCCAGTATAACTTTGTCCTCACATGTTTCACTTAGCAATGTCAAATGAAATATTATTATTCTAGCTTGTGTAGTATATTTTGGGGTTTGAATCCTCAACAATGCTTTTCAAATATTCTTTCATGGCAATGTTATATGATATGTTAATGAACAACATAGAAAACAGAGAGCCAGAAACTTATGTTTTCAAACGGTGGTATTGATAAAATAAACTGATGAAAATGTCTCTAGTTTTTGTAACTGAAAGGCAGTAATTTTAAAACTGATCTTGTCCACCTATGTCCAATCCATCCTAATAATAGGTAAACTTGACCATTGCTGATATTGTGATCACTTGCACTTGTATTGTCCATACAGAAGCAAAGGTGGAACCTGTACATTCAGAACTACTCTGTACTCCAGTAATTAGGCTTTCTCAGTAAATCGGTACCCTTGTTTCAAGGTATAGTGGCTAGATTTTAACAAATAGCCATTTTACTTGGCTTTTAAGCTCCTGAAAGAGCTGTGAGATTTGGAAACTGGCAGAGTTTTGTAACTCAGGCTTCACTGCATGCTATCATGCAATGAAGTTTTCTCTCTGTTGTCTCTTTATATACAATATAATCCCAATGACAGATGTTATTTTTTGCTCAAAAACTTCCTCAGACATTGTAGGATAAATAAGGTCCAGACATCTCTGTCTTTACTCAAGCTTCATAGTACTTTGCTCAGCAAGCAGTACCACTAAGTTCTGTGAGGTCGTTTTTGGAATTTATACACTGTTGAAAATGAGTGAAAATGGCAGACGCCAGTCCTGGGGTTGCAGATGTTTTCAAGGATCTGGTGCATGCTTTTGCATGCATTTGTTTTTGTGCAATTTTGAAAGACTGATAGGCTGGGAGAAAACTGACTGATAAAACTCATATTTCAAGATGCCTTATCCACTAGGATGAACTTTCAAAGCTTCTGTACAGTCAAAGATAGGTCAGAAACTGATAATATTCAGGTAGAAAACAGGGAATAACAGTTTCAACAAATAAAGCCCCATTCAAACAAGGCTTAGGAAGTAATAGACCAAAAGCAAAAGAAGATGTGCTTCTGCTGAAATGGTAGTTCATTGCGACAACAACAAAAGACAGACCTGAAACATCTGCCAGAGATCAAAATGTAATTAGGTTGTTGACATAATATACACTACATATGCACTACAGAATCCAGGTCAAAGATAACCAGTGGGACACTGACAGGAATTTACATACTGTGCAATACAATGAGAGCCTGGATCTTGCAAGTGCTGTGAATGAAAGAAGTCATTGAGCCAAATAAAACATACAGACTAACCATATCAACAAGCATAAGAGTTGGAAGAATATATGACCGTTAGTAGTCTCTACGCCTTCCTCTCGCTGATGTGGAGTGTGAGGTTTCTTGCTAGATGGTAGGTGAAGGTTATCCACTATTGTTTATCCTGTGTAGAAGAAAGGGGAATGCTGGGTTGGTGACAGTGCAGTTTCCAATCCTGGTCTCTCTTCCTTAACTGTAGAGTAAGGAAAGAGCAGGAGAAGGAAAGGTTCTTGATGGGGAACTGAAAAAATGGACTGACTGGGCAGTGGGGGAGAAACTATAAATTTAAATGAGTATCTGGGGGTTGTTCCATACTGAGACATTTAGTTGAATTTGGATTTGCTGAGTCTTAACTCATGAGACCTAAGAATGAGTTCTTGAAACTTTCAAGTAAGACTGGCTCACTTCTAAATACTTAGCCTTGCCTGTGTCTTTTACTACTGAACCCTGGTGTACGGCGGAGTATTTTCATCTGGAAGGAACAGAAGTTTGTCTCGTAAGACAACATTGTCCGGCTAGGATGCATTTACCCAGATTACAAAAGAGCCTAATGACTGCTGTGCTGTGGGGCCTCGCCGGTGGCTAGTTGAGAGGAGAGTAACTCAGAAATTTGAGAATCAGGTGGGCCATTGGCATCAAAACCCACGGAGCACATGGTATTGGGATAGTAAGTAACAGAAATTTCATGCACTGAAATTCTGTGTATAATTAGGACAGATCAAGAAGGTGACAGTTAATATGATGTGCTACAGGAGATCAAAGAGACTGCAAGGTTAGAGAAGACAGATTGAATTTCATCTCTGTATAGAGTAACAGATAATATAATTTAAAACTCCCATCGATGACTGCTTCTTCAAACAGCTAGTTAGAGAAACCATAAAGAGAAGCACCTCTGGATTTATGCATGAGGAACTGGTTTAAAACTCCTGTTGAAGGGCAGTCAAATTAAACATTATTGAAGGAATGAGAAGGCCTCCCTTAAAAACAACTTAATCAAAACAAGGAAACCTTTAAAAAGAATATCAAAATGAGTAATCCAAGATTGCTAATGGCAAGCATAGGGTTTATAGACTGCATATTAGACATTCAGAGAATGCGTTCCTCTAGTTCAAAATGATTCAAGCAATGCAATTAAGTGAGGAAAAATATACCTGTTTAAACAATAAAAAAGAAGCTCACTGAAAAAAAGCAGAAGTTATATCCAATTGAGGATAATAGAAAAGGACATAAATTATAACAGATTCTGGAAAGTCATACTCTTACTAACTCGTACACATATTTTAAGGAATAATTTGCTAAATACTTAAATGTTGCTAAGAAGTACTTCTTCGGATAAATCAGAATCAAAAAGACTGCTAGAGATTCAAGTTCAGTAGGAGTTAAATATGATTAGGGTGTAATCAAGTTGTAACCAGAGATCTCAAGAAAGAAAAGGACACAGCAGAAATGCTAGTTTAATTCTTTGTGTCAGTGAATAGAAGAGCTCTGGGAATTTCCCACTTGGGAGTCTTTGTTCATCGGGACAAGTCAGAAGAACTCTCTCAAACAGAAGTGTCAGGTTTAGAGCAAGCTGATAAATGGAAAATAAAAATTCATAAGGCCTATATCGTATTTGTCCATGGTTTCTGGATGGAGTTAAAAATGAAGTTGCTTGAAGCATTAAATGCAGTCTATAATACTTTTAAAAACTTACATTAATATTACATAAATAGAAGCTGTTTATCCAGTTTGCAAAAGAAAGGCAGAGGGTTCAAGGAAACTAAAATCAGAAGGTCTGGTTTCTGTACCAAGAAAATCAGTAGAACTACAATAAATGATTTATACCATTTCTGAACTGCGGCAAAAATGGGCAAAACTCAAGATCAGTTCTTTTGTAGAGGACACTGTACCTTATGAGTCTGTTTGAAGGATTCAATGAACGTGTGAACAAAGGCTCATTTGATTAATATTGTATTTTGATTTTCAAAAAGTTTTGACAAGATCCTTCACCAAAGATCATGAAAGAAAGTGTAATAGAATAAGGAGGAAAGGTTCTTTCATGGATTAGTACTTGGTTAAAAGAATAAATGGACCATTTTCACAGTGATGATCAATATGAACTGTTGAAAATATTCATATTTAACCTGGAAAAGGGATGAGTAGGAAGGTGACAAAGTTAGCAAGTACAAAATCTTTCAGCACAGAAAAATGAAAGAACTGCAAAATGTTCAGAAAGATCTCAAGATAGTCAGTGGCTGGGTGGTAAAATGATGAATTTCTGTAGCAATTAAAGGAAAAGTAGAACACAGACAAAAGAAGTTCTGCTTGTACATTGATTACAGCAATTTCTGAATTTGGCACTATAAGTTGTGAAACACCTCTTAGAATTACCTTGGACTGTGCCCTGGATGTATCAGCTCAGTGCTGGCTCAGCAGTAGCTAAAAAGGTCAACAGCGCCTTAGGAAATATTACTGATGTTTAAAAAATAAAACTGAAAAAATCATCAAACCATTTATAGGTCCACACTATGCACTCCCTTCCCCTTCAATAATTTATTAGAACCTGAAACAGTGCAGAGAAGGACAGTAGAGATTTTCAGCCCTACAAAGCAGTTTCCGTGTAAAAAGATATTAAATAGGGTTAGGATAGGGTTAGGAAGTTTTGGTGTATGAAATAAAAATGCCATGTGGGGTATGACAGAGGTATATTGAAATCACAAGTGACATGGAGAAAGCGAGTAGGGAATGGTTACTTGTTGGTTTCTGTGATATGAGAATTAGAGGGCAATAAATACAGGTTTAACACACATCAGTGTTTTCTTTCACTCTACCCATGGCTAAATGTGGAACTTACTGCTAGGGACCTTTATGGATTCTGAAAGTAAAAGCATGGTCAAAGGTGATTAGGTGAATTAATGGAAGAGATGTTTTTCAGGGCCTCTTAGGTGCAAGGAAGTAGGGATAAGTTTCGGTTTAGAAGATCTCTAATACGTGAACTTCTGGAAGCTCAGAATTCAAATTACTCTATGTGTTCTATTCTTAAATGCTTTATTCTGGCCTCTCTCAGACAGGATACTGAGTTAAACAAACATGTGCCCTTATGTTAAACCTGCCAAAGGTGTTTCTTTGAGCGCTCTAAGACACATACCTGTTAATAATAATAATGATAACTCAAATATGTCTCATGTTTTCTCCCTCTTACCATAGAAATGTTGCCTGGTTTCTGTCACTGCAAGACTGGCTATGCAGGAGAGAGCTGCAACAGATGTGCCTTGGGTTATACCGGGTATCCTGAGTGCCTGCCCTGCAACTGCTCACTGGAAGGCAGTGCGAATGCTGACCCTTGCATAGGTCCCTGCATCTGCAAGGTATGGGTGTCAAATTCTTCTGAGCCATAGGAAGATGCTAATGATATTGAAAGATTGCAGTTAGTGGTTTTCTATCATACAATAGCATTCCACTGTCCTACCTAGCTGTGTTGGTATCTATGTTGGTCACTTCTCATAGAACGCTTGTCCTTGGTCCTGTTAAGTCTTAGATTGCCTTGTGTCATCTCAGTACTCACTGTAGTTAACGTAGGTACCTAGGAGCCTGCTGCTAATCATACAAGTCCTTAGAAATCTGTAATGAAGGGATACTTAAGAAGCCTGTGAATCATTTGTTTCAAACTCACATCCTCATGTACACAGAAACTATATGTTTAAAGTATTGTGGTCTCTAAAACTAACCTGTGATATGACTTTAAAAGAGAAGAAGAAGTGAACTGATAATGTATTAAAACAAACAAAAAAGCTGGCTTTTAGGAGTTGTTATTAGGGATATAATCCTCTTTACTTGGTAAGTTCAAAACTGACAGCTTTCTTTCCTGCCTTGGGATGGTTGATTATAAATCTGTAACATATTTAAAAAAATAGTAACCCATCCTTTCTGTAGGATTAATTTCTCAATTTCAAGAAGAAAATTTAAGAATTACTTTCTCTGTGTGCCTTCATGTACTTCCAGCAAATTATATTTCAATATTATATTGAAATAAAAAAACTTCTAAAAGTACATGTATCCACTTATAAAATACCTGGTTGCCAGAAATGCTTTAGAAATGGTGGTGCTGTGTAAGCCACCATTTAGTTAGTGACCATGAATAGGTCCAAAGGACCATTTACTGTACTGTGGGCCAATTTTTCTGTGTCGTACTTGTGGGAGTTTCCTTCCAGCATTTAATTAACAGAATTTTTCACAAATGTGGATTTAAAAATACTTACGTTATGTCCTTAAATACAAGAATGTACAAAAAGTACTTAAATCTATCAGCTTATGCTGCATACACACATAAAGCTCTGGTGTGACAGCTGAATAGCACTGAAATCTACTCAGAGAATTAACCTTATCCTCACTTTATGTAACAGTCACATGCTCTCTGTCAGAAATAAAATCTATCCATATCACAGTTCTAATTCCTTAGCTATCAAGTCTAGATCAGAAAAGGGGTGCTTTTGCTATATTCTGACTTGAAAGGGAGCTTTGATGGTGTCATATGCCAAACACAAGATAACCACTGCTGAATGATTCTTATTATTATTATGACATTATTTGTGTCATGCCAAACTGACCTGTTAGTACAATCAGACCAAAATGAAAAAATATGGAATAGAGATAATTGTTCCTATCCCAGAGTCCACACTGTACACGCTTTTTCCTCACTGTTATTCCTTTGTCTCCTTTCTTCTCCTCTAATCCCTTTTTAAGTGCTTGTGGGAGAATAAATGGTAGCCTTTGCAGATAGCTGAGATACAAATACATACACATTTATTTTCACTAGCAATCTTCAAATTCAAATCAAAGCAGATTATGGTCAAAGGGACACTGAAATCATCAGATTAGTTATGCTCCATATGAAGAATAAAGTGGGATGTCTGGACAAGTTAATAACAGGTCTTAGGAAAAATGCTTCCCTTCTTTTAATCACATCTTTCAATTACATATGATGAGCTCTAAATTTACTAAAGATAGTTTTCTTGTAAAGGAAATTGACTGCTGAAAAACTGTTCTAACTGTAAGCAGCATAATGCAGCAAAGTGGGCATTAGATTGTTATCTTTACCACATTAGCCAGAGTAAACTAAAGTACAGAAAGGTGAGGAACAAGTATAAACGCCTGTTTTATCACTAATTATCTCAGAGAGCTTTCTGAAGGTATATGGTCAAAGTCTCATTTTTGCATAATTTAAAACTGGACTGAACACAGCATTCAGAAATAAATGAGGCTGTAGAAACATTGCTTCATTGGCTGAAGGATAGGTTAGATCTCCTTTCCAACTTTGAGTTTTATGTATCTACTATCCACTGAATTTGCTGCCTACTCAATAGAATTATACAGGTTTTACTCACTGATGACTGCAGAGTAGGACAACTTTTCATTTGAACATATACATTTGCTTTGCAGCTCGCTCTTTTTTTTTTTTTTTTTTTTTTTTTAAATTTACTCTTCCCACTCTGCATACCCTAAGCACATTAGCAAGGTCTGAAACTTTTGGGACCAACATTCATAATTCTAGTTAGTAGAATTGTGCATGAGAGCATTTGGGAGCCTGCGAGTTCCCAATTGTTCCCCACATTATTTTTCATATAAAGTATGAGTAGCTTGGTGATTTCAGCATACCTATGGCAATAATACGCATTGATCAATCCTGAGATTGCTACTGAAAACATAAAAATACCATTCTTTAAATTAATGAGAGGTTGAAGTTAAAAGTAATTGACTGATTGATTACCTTGGTTGTCTTAAAGAGATTTTTGGTTTGTTGAACAGAGTCTATATGATGCTGTTGAAGGGGAGAATAGATACAGCACAGCAATAGAGACAGAGAAAAGATATTTTGCTGCACATGTTGTTACTGTATAATTAGTGGTGAAAACATATTTACATTTTCATTTTGTCTCCTTCTTTACCTGTCTTTACCCTTTCCCCCTCAGTGCCCCTATTTTCTCTCAATCCATCTGTTCTGTCCTTTCTCCCCACACCTCTACATGCTTTTCCCCACTTTTTCCATCTTTACTAGATCTTAACCAGGAGGCTATCAAATGGCTTTTGGTGAACTTACTTCAGAGCTGTGTATTTCAAGGAATCATAGACTACACAGCGTGGGCAGACTTTTTATAATGTTCATTCTCTACTGACGTGAAGCCAACAGTTTGGTCCTGTGTGCATACCATAGATCACTGTCTCCAGGATTAGAGACTGTATATAACACTTTTGAAAGGGAAAGAATTTTATGGGTGATCTTGGGAAAAATATTGAACTACTAAACCAGCACCACAGCATAAGCCTTTTGCGACATACTCCTTGTAGAAAAGCTAGCTTTATCTTTACCTATAGGACAAGTTGATTTATTGTGTAAACTAACAGGACTTCACGCACAACATAAGCTTTCTCTGAAAAATGTAATTACCAAATGCTAAGTTTAGAATTCTTCATGTATGTTTAGTGCCTGGCTTTCTGCAGGGGAAGAGTTTGCAGACCTGGCTGCATGGCTGGCAAACACATGTACTCGGGGGAAGAAGAAATGCAGCCCTTGAACATTTAGCCTGAATTCAGCTATTAATGATACACCAGTAAAAAAGTGATACGCTGAATGATTGGTACAACTAATACTATGTACCCATAGTTTACATCAATTGGGCATGCAAAAATTTTTATCAGCCATACCTGCAAACTACAGTTGTTGAGACTGTAATATTGTGTCCCAGACTTCCTTCCCCTCCGACGCTCTCAAGTGTAAAGGAGATAAATTAGATTATTCCCTGAAATCAGGTATGTCCACTCATGTAGAAGAAAAATTAAAAGCCTTATAATGTCCCAATTCCATGTCCTGTTATTTACAGGCAGCCATAGTAACTTTTATTGTGTAGAGGATTTGCTTCTAATATTCATAAAGAAGAATAGTCTTCCCTGCAAATGTCTTTATAGTCCTGCATTTATACTCTCCTGCAGAGTATAAAGCTGGTAATCTCAAATTCGGATCTATGACAACTGAAGTAATATTTTAATGTGCATTTCCAGGAACATGTTGAAGGAGAAAACTGTGATCGTTGCAAAGCAGGTTTCTTCAATCTACAGCAAAATAATCCCAAAGGCTGTGAGGAATGTTTCTGCTCTGGGAAAACAAACGTCTGCACGCACTCTCACCTTACTTACAGAAATGTAAGAAAAATCATACCATATCAGTACATGTTGTTGGTTTTGTGTTTCTGTGTGTTGTCACTGTCTATTGTCACCAGAGTGCATCTTATTATAAAATCATGCATGTTCTTTTATGCCCCATATATTTTTCATTTATCCAAAAGAAAATGCTTGTAAGTTTTGTTTCTCTTCATTGTGAGAAAGTTCTGAAAAAGTGCAGTTGAACAGTGAGTAGTGCAAAACAAGGTATTAGTCGAAAATGGAGCCATGTGCCAAAACGCAGTCCTGGAATGTATATACTTAATCAGTCCTGAGTTAAATGCAACATCTCCATAGGGCAACCTCTTTCCCAGGTCATTATTAAATGAAATAATTCAGAATTTGGAAGCATTAAATGTACAACACACCTTATGTAAGAAAAAAAGGATGCCCTACAGGGGGCATTTTGAGTGAATTTCTTTTGCAT